TCCTCCCCTTTCAACTACATCCTGCCCCAAGCAATCTCATCGTGCTGGAGCTGTGGCTTCACCAAATCTGTCACATATGTCTCTGCACAAGGATCTCTATTCAAGGGGTTTCAGTGCCAAAGCAGCCTCATAAAAGCACATAATAATTTTTGTACCATTATAGACTTGCTGCAGTAGTGACTTCTTTTGCAGGCCATAGCTTGACACCTTGAGCTCTGACAGTGCATCAAATGACCTTTAGAAGGTCATGATTTCCTCTTCTTCTGAAGAGATTTGATCAATGATTTAGAGATTAAAATTCTACAGTTCCTTATATATTTTTCAAGCACTGATGAATATTGTACCTTCATTTCTAAAGTGTAAATGGAAGTTCTAATTGTGGCATGCTGATTGACATTTTGTACTAGAAAGCAGCATTACACTGAAAGTGTTGATGTTTTAATCACAACTTAATATTGCACAAAAAAATTCTCATTTCAGGTAGTGATGTTACAGCCTTACACCAATTAAAACCATAAATCAAGTGAAGCTAAATATATCTCTCCTTTGGAGGATAAAGCTGCTGTTTATGGATTTGATGCTTTTATCAATGGAAAACTCATCACTGGAGAGATAAAATATTATTGTACTTTGCCTTTAATGTAGTTCCTTCAATCTCAAGATCTGAAACCACTTAATTAGTAATGAAGATGTACAATGCTAATCTTAGTTTCACATCTTTTGTTGTTGCCATTTAGCAGTATTTCAATGTAGGCATGTCATTTAAGAGAATATTGGCTAAGTTTTCTGTCTATAGAGATTAAATTATTTATTTTGGAAAAATCTTTCATAGGTTAAAGAAAAGAGTGGTGAATCAAAAGAACAGGTAATATCAAAAAGCTATTAGGGTGATAGAGCTTAGCAAATGGACCAAAATGCACCAGTATGTTCAATATCATGGCTTAGTGCCGACCAGAAAATTTACAATTGTCCATTTACAGATTCCTTGCTGAGTCATGTCTTTATTGAGAAGAGGAATTAATTAGACCATACATTTGATACCATTCATCGGGTTTTGCCAGAAATGAAGGAATTATGAAAAGTTTGACATTTCATATTATTATTATCAATTCAACACTTCATCAAAAACAAATAGTAGTTTCTGGTTTAGCTTTTAGTTTCAGTGTCTCTAAACACTAATTAGATCATTGTTTTGGAAAACATGGGCTTTAATGAGATCAGTAAATCTTGTTTCTGGTTTTTGGGTTGGGGTTTTCTTAGGATATTTTTGTAATAAGTGTTGGAAGTTAATCTTCATGTTCTACAGTTTTGATCTAATCACCTGTGTCACTGCACTGAGTTTTCAGAAAGGCTGCTTTCATGTGCCAGCTTCTGTGTCACTATGGCAACCGGACAGAGCATTGAATGAAAACACACAGGTTTGGTAAAACACAGTCTTAAAATAACCTCTTGTTAAGAAGCAAAAGTTCCATGCCTGGAGGAATGTAGTTACACAAGAGACTTAAATAAGCTTGTGATTGTTTTCCTTTCAATTTCTCCTCTTTTGTCTAAGGATAATTGTTTGTAATCATTCTTGTCATAAAGCAACTAAACCATAAACTTAGGCTTGCTGTGATTGGTAAAAGCTTTGTAACTATCTCCAAGGATGCATTTGCTCCTGTAGGACTTGGAAAGTTCACTTGTGTTGGCACAACTCTTTTGAGTTATCTGCTGTGCTGTGCTGCTGTTTCTCCTTTGGCCTGCACCTCTGTCTGCAAAATGGGAGGCGGTTCGACAACATCATGTGGTGTCTTGTGTCTTTTTGTATCTTGAGTGTATTAACCTAGCAAATTACTTTTTTAATGCTATTGTGGAACTAAACTAAGAAGCAAGGTCTTAGCAAATTAAAGCTAAAAAAGGAAAAAAAAGACATGCAGATATACCAGTGAGGTTTGGAGCAGTTAGCCAGGGAATATTATGAACTCATCTTCTTTGAAATCCAGTCTGGCTGGCTGTTAAAAAGCTTTGCTTTAGAAAATAAATGTAATGTGTTAAAGAGGAGATCATGCCAAATCACATCTTGATCCATTCTAACATTTTAAGCTATGAATACCCATAATGAATTAATGTGGTTATTCTTTGGGTAGCCTAGGAACAAAAATTTGTCTAACAAATTTGGTATTCCCTGCTTTTGTTTAAAGAGTTTAAAAGGACAGAAAACATAGCTCCTTCTCATAGATTTGTCATGGCATGCAGATTAAACATCAAATTCCCCGGAGTGCCATTCATGTTTTTTTTTTTTTCTCTCTTATTTAGTGGATTTTCCATACCCATAGATATGGGTATTGACATACCATTCAATATTAAAAACATACATAGCTGCACAGATAAAGATAAATGAATTTCACTGTAGCCATGCTTCTGCCTTGGAAGTTCTGTTGTGCATTTAAAATGGAAGTTTTATCCTAGAAAGCACTTCTGTCTCGTCCCTTTGGCTTTACTGTTCATTCTGCAAGCAGCTTGGCTCTCTGTTCTTCTCAGCTGAAAATTTCTGTTGTGCTTGAAGCCCTTCTGGTTTATCTTCTTATCTAAAAGCACATTGGGGAAAGTGAGTGATGTTTTAAAGAACATAAAGTATGGAAATGTAAATGGAAACTGTAAATGTAAATGGAAACTGTACCTTGTAGACTTGCTATAACCTCTTTGGGAACAGGCGTTGGGAACTACCTCTATTAAATCTACTGTTGGCATTCTCTGTTGTTACAAAATAATTAATATTCACTGTCTTGTTAGTAAATAAATATTTAAGTGGGGGGTTTCTTTGTCTTCTAGAAGACAAACTGCCAGGCTGTAATTAAATTTGTTAATGAGGTTTTGTTCTAAATATCTAGATTTCTCAGATGTACCTGCCTCAAAAGTGGGTAGAGAAGCATCCCAACAAAATGAGAGATATAATGCATAACTTGAACCATTCATAATGTAACAATGAATATGCTAAAACATCATAAACATGAGCAGCTTAGTTTTGATGAGTATTTCACACCACGGAAGGGAATGCATTTTGATTAATTTTCCGAAGCTGAGCATTCTCCAGAAATTAATTTTCTTTTCAGTCGCACAGAATCTTTCGGAGTTTTTTTATCCTTTGCCTCATACAAGTAAAACGTTTAAATACATTGTCCAATCATTTCTGGTAAATCACAGTTTTTCCCCAACTGTTGTGCTGCTGTTTGTATTTCCTAGAAATGTCACTACAGTGTTTGATACAGATGTTGCATTTGGAGCAAACAAGTTACAGCTGAGGCTGGAACTAAGTGGTATCTATGAGTCATGTAATTGCTCCACTAATTAAATATAAACAAATTATTAAACCATTACATTTTTAGGACTGTATTTACAATTTATGCATAAATATTTATAGAATCTGTCAGTATTTTATTCTGAGGCATTTGGCCTTCCTAGATTTTGCATTCTGCTGTAGTTGCTGCTGGTGCAGTGATTTTTCTCAAAGATATTTGAATCTTTTTCACTAAAATGTGAAAAGGACATAGGTAGCACTTCTAGCACTCCGAAGCACCCACAAACAGAATCCAGGTATGGCTGTGTTACAGAAAAGCTCATTATCACCACTGGAAAACATTAATAAAAGGTTAGGTAGGAAAGGAGAGATCAATTCAACCCCTCTTTCACTCACAGAAACTCCTTGTCTGAGAAATACCCCTAAAACTCAAGAGAGTATCTTAAAATATGTGATTCCAGGTTATTATTGTCCCACACATTTATGAAGTCCTGACACTTTTAGTTCTTTTCAGCTCCTTTTTATATATTTTTTCCTTTCATAAGATAAAATGCTGCAGAGGTAAAAGGCAAAGTCTTCACATGACTAATCTGTCCATCAGCTTTTGAAATTGATGAAAATAAGTGAGATGACAGATAATATTTTCTTTCCAACCATCATGTCTTTTTCTTTTCTTCCTTTTCATCAGTGTTGCTTAGTTTAAATGTATTAGTTTGGGGATTTCTTTCTGATGGCTGCATTAATAGAGCAACTCCCTAAAGGAAAGGAGAAAGTGATTCCTATTTATGCAAACCTTTCCTTCCCTAGCGGAAACACTTTCATTCTTCAGGCATTTCATTGTTCCATTTTTGAAAAGCTTTGTTTTTTATAGCATCTCTGTTCTTAGCAAGGACAGTATGCACTTCTGATTTACATATTCTTTTTAATTCTAATACTTCTCAAAAACTGATGGTGGCAGTGATGACTAAAATATTATATCTGTGGTTTTTTTGAGATTTAGAATCAGTGCTGTTTGCAGAAGAGTAAATTGGATAAGAACATGAAACCACAAAATCCCTTTTACAGTTTTTCATGTGATACCTGGGATATAGGTAAAGGCAGAGAATTTTCACTTTTTAGGCATTCGAAGTAAACGACACATATATTTGTTAAAACTCTAAAATATAGCTGTATTCTGCTCTTATTGCAAAGTAAGAATAATGAAGTTGTTTGGGTACACTTGTAATGAAATAATATTTGTCCATTGCCCTGATGATTTTGCTTCTCCTCCTGTAAGCTTGCATGCTTCTGTTTCAACCAGAGTTTGAAACAGCATTTGAAAAGCAGCTGTCCAATGAAATTATTATTGTAATATATTGCTCAAATTCTATGGCAGTTTCAGCTCTACACCAAGCAAAGTCATTTGCTTTACATGTTTTGGATTTTTTTTTTCAGAGAAAGAATGAATACAGTCAAAGTTGGCTTGAAATAGAAGTTCTTCTTGAAATACAGTTCTTCTATTTACTTTTTACTAAGGAGCCAGCTGTTACTTTCTTGTCATGGCCTAATTTTATGCATATTGTTATTGTCAAACCAGCAAAACACACTGAACCACAACCAGGAATGTGTAGCAGTTTGTAATACTTCTATTCTGATATTCAGTCATAAATCTTAAGCTTGTGTCTCCATATTATTGCTCCATGCTTAATATTTTAATGGTCTCAAAATCAGTCTTTACTCACAGATTTCACAGAATTTTCTTCATTTTCAAAGAACATCATATATGACTTGGCATTACTGAAGAGTTTTACTACAGTAAGTAAATCACTTTGGTTATATTCTAAAGAATGCTTTGTATGGAATGCTTATCATTGCAAGACTCTAACATGCAACTTTTTTTTTCTTTAGGCCAGCTTTTAATATTTAGTCTAATAAAATTAGACTATTATTTTAATTTAGTCTATTTGAAGTAAATTTGTCCTAATAACAAGCACAGTCACATCTGAATATTATTTCCCCCTAAATATATCTTTTGAAGTTTTATACCTCTTATTGCTTGCTCATAGCAGAAATTACTTGTTTTTTTCTGAAATCTGTAATTTGTAACTGAAGGCTGCATTTAGACCAAATAACATTTGGTGACAAGGAATATGTTTTTGCCACCAAAATGCTTTTGCAACAAAAATGTTGTTTTTAGCAACAAAGGATCAGATGTAGACTACTTAGGGCAGGAGGAGGTTTTGGTTAGTGCTATATTTCATCTGTGCCAGAAGTAGATGAGAACCTAAGCAACACAAACTGCAAAATTCTCAACAGCCCATTACCCAGGTTAGTGTGAAACCCAGGAGCATGTTTGACAAACCACTAATGGGAATTCTCTCCCTAGGAGTCGTTGCATGGTGAAAGAATTAATTGGCATTAGGCAAATGCTGGCTTAAAGGCCTTTGCAGAAAGTACCTTTATTGTTGTCAAGAAATCATTCAAACAGTAATGTTGCTTCCCTTTTCTTCTTGGTTCCAAATGGAAAAGAAAAGCTGCTGCCATTGATTGCTACTGTTCTTGTGCTAGAGTTCACAAGATGCACAAAGGAATGGAAAGGGACAGTTTTCAAAACACTAATGAAATTGGAAGAGTCATCTAATTGAAGGTGTGCATTTAAAAAAAAATCTTATCTATAAATCCTCCCAACAGACAAAACAAGTATCATCATGAACATTCAATGGCTATATTAAAGAATATTATAACCAATATTATAATAGATTCCTTGTGCTAAAAGAGGAAAATATATACACTTCATACTTTACTGGGCATGTAGGAAAAGAATACAGAGACAGTCAGGAGAGCCCTGGAAATCTGCCTTCCTCTTTTGAGGAATTATATTACTCATTCTGCATCAGATGATATTTTATACATGCTGGATCAGCATACTATAGAAAATTTTGTCTTTAAAATAATTATCATTAGAATAAATTATTTTTTCCTGCTCCTTTAGTGGACTTATAGGATTTTATTATAATGGTACTTTATTTCTACTCACAGTGGTGTTCATTGGGCTTTTGTGTTGATGAAGAAAGCAATAGAGTTGGTAAGAAGGCAATTTCCATCTATTTGCTATCAAGCTGAACTTGGGAAAGACTGGGATTCAAGGACATAATGGATATCAACTTTATCTAACATGAATTATCCTTCTGCATAAAATATTCAATGCCATCATTCTTTAAGATAATAACAGAGTTAGCTTTCCTTGCAGTTTAACATACAATGTTTAAGTTGAGGACATTTGATCTTATATTGCTACTAAATATTAACTTTCAAAGTCACACACTTTAATGTATGGAAACAAAGGGTCTTACAGTTATTAAGTGTTGTTTTTACATATATGTCGTATTTTATTTACCTGTAACTGTTTAAAATGCCTTAATATTTAATTTTTCATGCTAATTTCTGGTTTGTTGCACATTGTAAAGTACTTTTATAATACCTTTGTTTTGATTTCTTCTAAAATCTCATGTACTTTGATGGCACAGTAAAGAAAGCATAATGTAGCAATTCAGCGAAGTATGGCAGATGTTTTGGCAGATACAGGAGTGTGATTAACAAGGAATTAATAAATATCTTTATAACACATCAGTGTTCTTAAGTGGGTGGTTTTGTAATTTCTACAGTGTGCATTGAAATGCAAACAGCAGAATGGATATTTTTCTACTGCACTGCTTTTCTTACAGATCATAGATTTATTTGTGAATACACAGGTCAGTTTTGTTAGGAGGAAAGAGTTCTCTCTTTCTTTCCTGTTGTTACTCTGTATTCTGATTTTATGCTGATTAATTTATTTTATTTTATACCAGACCAAACACTGTAGCCTAATAACAAAACCAGACTAACATTTATTTTAATTTAATGGGCTTTTTATAGGTGTTTAATGAATACACTACATCTTCTAAATTAAGGAGCTGCACAGAAGAACAACACTTTGGTACCTGATGAAATGTAGTTGGAGACAGCACAATGGCTTGCACTGAGGGATCAGGTGGATATGGGGCATTCTCCACACTTGTTTGTCCATCCTTTGAAAATATTCAGAAGCAGGGGATTCAACAGTGCCATAGTAATGCCTGGTACTGCCCGTGCAAATGAGGAATGCTGGCCAGCAGTTACACAGAACTTAGAGGTTACTAAGGAAAACTGCAGAACCTTTTCCATAGAGGTTTTCCTGAGAATTTAAACAAACAGGATAAGGGTGGAGTAGATACACTTGACCATGTAGAGGACCTTGCCAGGAGGGATATCCCAATGTTCTTCTGTTTCTAAGATGCTCTGAATCCTTCCTCTCAAGATGGAACACACTGGCTCTTTTTAGTAACAATATAAAGGAAATAGTTGTACTACACTATGAGAAGAGCCAGAGTATGACCTTAAAAACTAGAAAGATTCCTTAATAGAGACCATGATAAACTAGCTTCCAAATCTGCTGTTCAGTCTTTGCATGGTCAATTGCTCCATTACTAGAGTTTCCTTAGAAAGCAACTGCTGGCAAAAATAGGAAGAATTTCTTTTTTCTTCAGTACATCTGTCACTCTTACAGCAATACATCTCACATGGGTATGTGTGTCACACTAAAAGCCGAGTTTTGGGTCAGTGATGTATGTTTCCAAAGGATCTGTTTCTGAGATCCAATATGCCACAGACACATTTTATGAAAAATCCTTTCCTTAGGATTTTTTCTCCTGAGAAGCTGAGAGGCCTCAGGAACAAAATGTAAACATTGATTATCTGCTGCTGTGGAATGTAACAGGTGGATCTGGGATTGGTCTCATGTGGTTGTTTCTAATTAATGGCCAATCACAGCCCAGCTGGCTCAGACTCTCTGTCCGAGACACAAGCCTTTGTTATGATTCATTCCTTTTTCTATTCTTAGCTAGCCTTCTGATGAAATCCTTTTTTCTATTCTTTTAGTATAGTTTTAGTACAATATATATCATAAAATAATAAATCAAGCCCTCTGAAACATGGAGTCAAAATTCTTGTCTCTTCCCTCATCCTAACACCCCTGCGAACACCATCACACCAATATACTGACACTCTGGCTTTAGCAAAAGACAGTGGAATAAGCAAATAGGGTGTGATTTATTTGCTTTTTCTTACAAGACTTCTATTTCATTCCTCCTACATGTTACATAAAAAAGCTATGCTTGCCAAGTGCTTTAACATGCAAAATACTATGAAATTAAAAGCAGTTCTTTTTCCTTCATAAGAAACCCTATCAATGCCACAGCAGGACCTTGTCCTGAGATGTCCATGTACATCTTTCTTGTGCATTTCTCCAAAAGCTCATCCAGCTGAGGACAAAGAATACCATTGATCCAACAAGTCGAAGTGGAAGATGCTGCATTTGGATTGGGGCAATCCCAAGCACGGGAGAAGAACTCACTGAGAGCAGCCCTGCTGAGAAGGACCTGGGGGTGCTGGAGGATGAGAGGCTGGCCATGAGCTGTCAGTGTGCTCCCACAGCCCAGAGAGCCAAACGTGGCCTGGGCTGCATCCAGTGGTGGGCAGCAGGGCCAGGGAGGGGATTCTGCCCCTCTGCTCTGCTCAGAGCCCACCTGCAGGGCTGCACCAGCTCTGGGCACCAGCACAGGGAGGACAGGGACCTGCTGGAGTTGGTACAGAGGA